AAAACAATATTAATTAAAAAAAAAAAAAAAAATTCAATGGGAATTCCATCGTTCCCAGGAGTTCAGTTATTTTGGAAACACTCTAAAAGCGAGGCACATTCTTCTGAAGTGATTTTACCTTCACATGACATCTTTTGTTCTTCTCAAAGTTTGGGAATTAATAAATCTTTTAATAAAGTTTCAATCACTTCATTGTTCTTGTTCCTTCTCGTGTATAACTCTTGATAAAAGCGTCGTTGTTCGTACAAGATATTAAATGGATCCGTGGTAATCGAATCATTGATATTTAATTTTCTCATATGCTTTTTGATATGATTTCTCTTTCTAGATTCAAAAAATATTTGGTACTTTTCTCACCATGCTCGTGTCAGCGGGCTCGTGCACGGATAATTATTCCTTTGACTTTTTCTTCATAAAACAATTCCAAAGTTTCTTTAGCAGAAATGAGGATATTCCCATTTCGGTCGTTAGGGTCTGTTTCAAAAATAAACTTCGCTTTAGCGTATTCCTCTTGAAGATTTTGTGCTCTTTCCTTTCTTTCCCGTGCTCTTCTTTTCGAACGCTGAATTGTGTGTGATCTATGTAAGGTATTTGAAATCAGCCAGTAATTCAAACGACAAAAAATCATTGGAGAATTTCTGTTCCATGTAAAATTTTTTCTTTCAGGATTCTTGACTCTCTATATATCAACAAGATCGAGCTCTTCTTGCAGATTTTCAATTGTGGTTACAACAGATTTTCTCGGATTTAACAGGCCTTCTTTCTTATCAAGGATTGGATTAGAAGGGCAGTTAAAATCTCCACCTATAATAATGGTCTCTTCTTCATCAAAGTTATTTTTTCGCAGGGTCGTAAGTAGATTGTTAAGAAAGTTAACGACATTTGTGCCTTTGTTGGGAGCATAAACATTAATCAAAACATACATTTTATCGTTAATCTCAGCTATTAGTATGACACACCGTCCCAATCAACACCCTTTTTAACAAGAATTGCCACCCCACATGAATTGGAGCTGCCATGAGCCATAATAATCTCACTCCCCCATTCATTTTTCCAACACGTTTCTGAGTCTTTTTTTGAGTGAGTTTCTTGTAAGAAAATAAAATCTGATTTCTGTTTTCGACACCAAGTAAATATCATTTTCCTTTGCCCCTCACATTTAACGAAATCAATTTACACGTGCTAGCGCTTATTCCGGAGAAAATAAGACAATTTTAGGATTGCAGAAGAAAACTCGTATATGTTAATTAGAAAACGCTTCACTGGGCTTCCGCGGTTTTCCACTAAAGAATTAAATATTCTATTCGGATTATCGGGAAAAAGCATGACATACTTCATCAATATATAAAGAGAATAATGAAGCCTTCTACTGCCCGACACATTTATGTGCACATTACGAGGTTGGAACAGGAGGAAAAACAAACGATAAAACAACTGCCTCATGTTCCAGATTGATAACCGTCTACTAAACAACCTTCCTTAAGGAAAACTCCTCCACCGCAATTCAAATAGTCAGAATATCAGGGTGACTATAGAGGGAAATTTAATTTCAAAATTCAAATTTCAAAAGGGAGGTGACTTGGTCTCTTGTCATGGCAGAGAAAGGAAAGATTTATGCAATATTGAACAAGCCTAAATCGTAGCAACGGTAAATACATTGTGAGCCCTGACTAGCCAACACAAGAATAAGCGAAGTTAGAATTTAACGTATTTTCCGTCAATATATAATTTATCTGGCTAATATCTAATTTAATTGTGAGGTTAATGGTTGTTCACAGAAACAGATGAGTGTCA